AGCGACGTCCTGCGGGGCGCTGGGGCCCCTCCCCGCGACCGGCTTCCTTCTTCCCAGGCGGAGAGACAATCAAGACGGGCCGGGAACTCCAACAGGCAACGGCGGCGGCAGAGGCAAGAGGCCAAGCAGCTGTAGGGAGCCGTGGCGGCAACGTGCGCGCTCCTGGCCGATCAGGGGAGGGGGGCCTCGCGGGCGCATTCCGTGGGGTTGGGGCGCCACGTGTTCAAGGGGATGAAAATTCACCCGCGGACGAGTGGAAGCCCCAGAGTCTCGCGGGGGTTAGTTAAGAGGACGGGGGAAAAACAGCGGGGTCACGGCCATGGGGTGCAAAAAAGCCCCGTCTCTGTGAACCCGCCGTTAAAGCACCACTGACTGAAAAAAATAAGCGCATGGACCGTTCACAACAGGCGTCAAGGGTGAGGAGGAGCGGGTGAAAGAGCAGGGTTGCAGGTCAGGTAAACCTGGGGCTTTGTTTACAACCCCGTCCTCACAGCCATGACGGGAGGCATGCGGACCTCAGGCGACCCTGTTCCGTCCCCACCAGCCCGCTGTCAGAAGCAGGAAGAGACAGAAAGAAGGAATAAAGGGGATTTTGTCTTTGCTTTCCTTAAAGAGCCGGTGGAAAAAAGCTAGTTAAAATACTCTTGCTGCTGCTGCTCCACTTGCCCCTTTTAAAAAAGCCACGCCGCAGACAGGTGTACACACACAGGTACCCACACACACACAGAGAGAGGGGTGCAAACATGCTCCCAGGAAGGTTCAGCTTTCCAAAGGCAGCCTCCCTGCACGGCCTTTGGAAACTGGACACTCCCACAGAGCTGAGGAAGTGTTTAATTTGCCTTTATTATGAAGTGGCATTCTCATTAAGCCACTTCAGAATATTGGCAAATGGAAAGAAGGTGGTTTTCTTTGGTCCATTCACAGTGATTACACATACTGGAGATGAACCAAGTAAAGCGATCCTATCCACACCAAAAAAAAAGTAGGAACTCATTGACAAAATCCAGAAAGGTGCAGGCAGGAACACTCTGGGGTCAGCCTGGTTCACTCCAACAAATATATCATTTGATTGCCATGCACCAGCCCATCTAAACAGTGGACTACACACGCATCTAATTGCACTCTCAGTTACTAGGGGATGAGTCCCTTAAGCTACATCAGACTTGCTTCTCCTGCTCATTTGTTTAGGGCCCATCCATAACAAGCCAAATTGAAAACAACAACCTACATGCTGTTTAATACTGACACTACATTAAAATATTTTATCTGAGATTAGAAATAGCTAATTGCTTTATCAATGGCATCCTTCAGTCTCGAAAGACTATGGTATTGTGCTCTGTATCGAGGACTTGGAACAGCGTCTAGTGTGGCTGAGAAGGCCAATTCGAGAGTGACAATCCCTTCCACACTGAAGACAAATCCAATCTGTCCCCTGTCCAGCTCCCTGATTTTGCTGCTTTAGTAACTGCCTCTTTGCCTCAGCCTGCTGGACAAGGGTCTCTTCAAATTGGGAGAGGCCATGATGCACCACTTGCCTCCAGGCTGAACGCTCAGATGTTAGGATTTCCCATCTGTTGAGATCCATTCCTAAGGTCTTCAGATCCCGCTTGCAGATGTCCTTGTATCGAAGCTGTGGTCTTCCTCTGGGGCGATTTCCCTGCACTAATTCTCTATACAGGAGATCTTTTGGAATCCGACCATCAGCCATTCTCACGACATGCCCAAGCCAACGTAGACGTCACTGTTTCTGTAATGTAAATATGCTAAAACCTCCAGCTCGTTCTAGAACTATTCTATTTGGAACTTTGTCCTGCCAAGTGATACCAAAAATGCATCTGAGGCAACACATATGGAACGGGTTCAGCTTCCTCTCCTGCCGTGCACAAAGGGTCCAGGACTCACCGCAGTACAGGAGTGTGCTCAGGACACAGGCTCTATAGACCTGGATCTTGGTATATGCCATCAGCTTCTTATTAAGCCATATACTCTTTGTGAGTCTAGAGAACATGATAGCTGCTTTGCCAATGCGTCTCTCCAGCTCTACATCTAGGGAAAGAGTGTCAGAGATCGTTGAGTCAAGGTACACAAATTCATGGACAACCTCCAATTCTTGCATGGAGATGGTAATAGGAGGGAGGTGAGTCCACGTCCTGGCCCATGACTTGTGTTTTCTTCAGGCTGATTGTTAGTCCAAAGTCTTGGCAGGTCTTGCTAAAACGATTCCTGAGTTGTTGGAGGTCTTCAGCAGAATGGAGAACAATGGCTGCATCATCTGCGAAGAGGAAGTCCTGTATGCATTTCAGTTGGGCTTTGGTCCTCGCTCTCAATCTAGAGAGATTAAAGAGCTTTCCGTCTGATCTAGTCCGGAGGGAGACACCTTCTGTTGCAGTTCCAAAGGCATGCTTCAGCATGACAGCAAAAAAGATCCCAAAAAGGGTTGGTGCGAGGACACAGCCCTGTTTCACTCTGCTTCGGATGTCAAAGGGATCTGACAGTGCCTTTCATTCCCTCATGGAAGGACCTGATGATGTTAAGGAGTTGCTTTATACAAAGTATAAAAATACACATGCAGATCCATATAAATCAAAAACAAAAGTAGAATTAAAAAACCCAAAGTATAAAAAGCAGACATCAAATACAGAAGAGGGTGAAACCGGCTTCACAATAGCTAAATATCTGAGCCCCGTGGCACAGTGGTTAAACTGCACCACTGCAGTCAAGAATCTGCTACTATTGGAAATGCATGCATATGTAGCCTTACGTGGCGATCTCCAGGTTTTAATAAGAATATGTGGGTAGGCACTCCAACAGCTACTGTGACTTGTAGTCTGTAGGAGGGCTTTTTGAACTATCTTCAGAACAAATCAGGACCTGGGGAAGATGGTAAGAATACAGTACTAGTACAATATGACTATAATCCATAGTAATTCCAGTCAGTACTGTAGCTGCCACATTTTGTACTAACTGAAGTTTCTGGGCTATCTTCAAGGGCAGACTCACCGTAAAATTAGACAGGAGGTTGCTAAGACAAAGGTCCTTCAAATGAAGTCCTTTGTGTCTGAGGAAAACCTTAGATGCTGAACCACTCTAAAATGTGTGTGTAGGGGGGTATGAATGGAGATTGATTGTGTCACATATATTTGTGCTTCCATTGAGAAAAGTGGATCTACAGCCATCAGAATAAATGAATTTGATTGCTTAACCTTTCTAGAACAGGTTTCAAAAAGCTAAGTTTCCAAACTTCCCCATATAAATTAGTTATAAAGACCTCTCAAAGTAATTACTTACCACTGGGTTTTTAAAGTCTCATTTTACAACAAACAAAACACAAAACCCTAAAATATTGTAGTTACTTTTAAAAGAAAATCTAAATGCTACAAACTACTGTCCTGGGCTAAAAATATAGTTTCTTCCCATCTGCCTTTTCCTCAACAAGAAAGTATGAAGAACACTTAACCGTGTGATATTTCTCTTTCATCATTTAGTGAGGCCAACCCTCTGTAACTATGAAAATAACAAAATGTTGCTATTACATTGCAGAAGTGATGTTCCCCTCTGTTACATTAGAATTTAATGGGATATACAGTAGTAGTTATGTGTTTGTCATTAAGGAAAGGGAGTAATTAAGAATAACTAGGTATAACTAACTAGCTACTTCCAGTTCTGGCAACCATCCACTAACAATACTTTCCCCATTATGTCTTGAAAGAGCTTCCAGAATTCTTTATGTTTTGCCTTGGCAACATAAGGTAAAGGTAAAGATTCCCCTTGACAATTTTTGTCCAGTCGTGTTCGACTCTAGGGGGCGATGCTCATCCCCGTTTCCAGGCCATAGATCCAGCGTTTGTCCGAAGACAATCTTTCGTGGTCACATGGCCAGTGCGACTTAGACACGGAACGCTGTTACCTTCCCACCAAGATGGTCCCTATTAATCTACTCGCATTTGCATGCTTTCGAACCGCTAGGTTGGCGGGAGCTGGGACAAGCAACGGGAGCTCACTCCGTCGCGTGGATTCGATCTTACGACTGCTTGGTCCTCTGACCCTGCAGCATAGGCTTCTGCAGTTTAGCCCACAGCGCCACCACGTCCCTCTCCTTGGCAACATGGTTCATCCTAAACTCTTTTGTGTTACTGCAGGAAGTGGCAAGATCAGTTTATCACTTATCATGATTGGTAACTCACTTCTTGAGGCACCACCAACAGTAGGCAGATTCAAAAATTACCTTCTTATGTGGGCATGTGAAAGTTTAAAACTAAATGGGAAATATGCCTTGCAATGATACTTTTTTATATATAGGATTCTGGAAGG